TTTAATGGCTTAGGTTCATTTGATTTGGACCGGATAGTGATCAAGCATTGTTCTTGTTGGATGCTAATTGAGTCTTAAACTACGTAACTTTTACATTACCTAAATAGGAAAAATTGAAATTGAGGTATTTAATTTTGAAGGGATCTGTCTTCTTTTTTTAAAAAAAAAAGAAGAATTTTGCTATCACATGATGATAAGGAACAACTTTTTGTGATATTTCAATCCTCTTTTTGGCTTCTTGCACTACCCAATAATGGGTTACTTTCCCTTTTTAAATTTGAAAAAAATATATGCAAATTGCAAACTTATAGAATTTTTCAATATAATTTTGAAATATTTAAATTTAATTTTTTAAATATTAAATTAATTTAATTTTAAAATTCAAGTCATTAACTATTTGATAGGCAAAAACGACACTGATTTTGAGATGAAGGAAGCACTATATGGTTTTATTTAGATTTTGTAACGACTCTGGTCCAACTGTACGTTGAGGTATTATTCACTTTGAGTTTAATCTCACAAGGATTTGTCCATTAGATTTTTAACCCAAAGGACGTCGCGATCATTATTTCTAAACTCATTCTTTTAACTTTCTTCTCTCATTTCGATGTGAGATTTACCTAAGGTGTAATGTGTACCCTTCTTTTAGAGGTTTGTCCTTCGTTATAAGTGTCACATACACCCCTCATTGAAACTCAACGTCCTTGCTGAGGTTTGTCCCACCATCATACTAAGTAGGCGTTTGGCCATGCGATACCATATCACAATATGGTATCGTGAGATGGAATCAGCATTTGGACATGCGATTTTACACTAATTCCACCTCATGATTTCATATCATGAGAGGTGATACCATATTCTCCAAAAACCATGATATGGAATTATATGGTGATTCCATATCATGATTTGAGATATTTTAATACAATAATTGATCCATGAGTTTATATTTTGTTAAAACAACCCCACATTTTATATCTACTAACCATTTATTTCATATGTAAATAAAATTTATAATCACATCATTACTTTTTAAAATTTATTATTCTCACCAATATAAAATTTATTATTACTTTAAA